TTTTTTTTTTTTTTTTTTTGCAATCTATCTTTCAGATATCATTAATAAAAATGGACAATAGCACAAATATGAGGTGTAAATAAAAGACCGATTGCCACAGGCACAGTTCCAGCGCAAAGCCAATAAAAAAAAAGATTCGAAGCCACACTTTGTTGAATCTCAATTCTCAGCACGGATGAATAAAATGACCTTAAAGAGCCAAAGTCAGCCGGGATGCGATGACGTCACGAACATGGAAGCCTGCGAAGATCAGAAACAATCAATAGATTATAGACAGATATATGATATATTCTTCTAAGTGAAAATATAAATGGTTGGGATTGGAGTTGAATACATTTTGTTACAAATATGATTATAATGACAACTGTAACTTTGGTACTGCTTACATATCCTACAAGAAGGAGTCCTTATAAATATCCCTCTTATGAAACTTTATATTGATATTATCTTCTTTAGATGTGCCATAGTACACAAGTTACCAGGATGCCAAGCTTATTTCGTCCACCGGAAGAGGAAAATCCAGAACTTACCTAATCAGCAATTGGATGGCACTCCCTTCCGCAGTTATCCGGACAGCACTTGTAGCCATATTCACAGTCGTAGTCGTCGAAACAACCGGCTGAGATGGGGCAGATGGTGAGGTCCCTGTCTGTATTTGGGCAGCTTCCTGGTCTGCCTAAAAGGAATAAATAAAAATATCACGTGTATGGTTTGTTTAATGATAAGTGATATAAAAAATGTTACGCGTAAGATGTGTCTAATAATAAATGGTAAAAAAGCGAAGAGTCGGGAACACAAGATTATACCGAACACCTTTAACTTTTATGTGTATATATATATATATATATATATATATATATATATATATATATATATATATATATATATAAATCGAGTATTTCCCTACTTCTCATCGACTTTGTTTTCTTGTTTATCCAAGAGGGTTTTTTTATGATGATACGTTTTCTCTATACGCTTAATTAATACCCGCTTCACTGCATGTATGCATATTTAGCCTAACAAATGACTGTTTCCTAAATATCCGTTGAGAATGATTCTATGATCACACTGTGAAGAATACAATAGATGCATGAACAACGCGAAACCAATTGTTATAGCAAACTGAAGAAAAACCTTACCTAATCTATCGGGAGCCGCGTCTGCAGGGGAAACTACCACAGCGACCACCAACACCGACACGATCAAGATTTCCTTAAGATTGACCATTTTGGGAATCAGATCCTGTAAATAAAGAGTCAGATGTAACGGTGATCCTTTCATTTGACTGAATACCTATTATCTATTATCGATCACCTTTTCTCTGTCCGTCAGTCTACGTGTGTTATCTTTTTGACGTCATGCCGACTTTTATGTATATGCCGTACCTGAACTGTATTCATGTTGACAAATGTAAAAAAAAAAGCATGAATGATAATGAATATCTTCGCAATATAGGAGATGTGTTTGATCGGTTTCGATTATATCTTCGTCAGGAATATAATCGAAACCGGTTAAATACATTTCTTGTTTTGTGAAGATATTCATTCTCGTTCAAACCTTTTCTACAAAGACCTTACCTATATGTTTGTCTTACTTGTGTTTTGTCGTGTGTTGCAGAAAGGTGTGATGTGTTCAGGTACTTGCTTAGGATATTTATGTGTCCGGGTGATATCGAATGGCAATTTTTTGTTTAAGATTTTTATGTTTCCGAGTGACATCGAATGTCAAAATTTTAAAGTATATCACCTGGAGACTACATAACATATTTACTAAAGTCCTAAAATGTCAACTCTATTATGTATATGGCTAATAACCTTTATACTAGCACACTTTTATTCCGAAATATATAACCCATTGATGATGATTTTAAGGGATCAAATGTATTCTTTAAGGAGCATCTGAACTAGCTTTGGAATTTTCCTAAGAATCGGGAAAACCAGTTGCATAAACCTTTTTCTCTCTAATTGTTTCTTTCTCTCTTCCTTTCGTTCTCAAATACAAATGAAAATTTTAAATTCCACAATTCCACAATTTCCACAACTGAGAAGTAAGTATACATACATGCATGCAATATTTAATGGACAATAAACTGCTACATGATAATATTAATGTGTTTATGTGTGTATTTTTACTTTTTTTTGTCTATCACTTCACCTAAATATTTTTCAAGTGATACTGCAATCGATTAGAGTCCATTTCTGTCATTTTCTCAGGGAAACATCTTTCACAGAACACCAAATAACCAATGTGAAAACACGAAAGAAAATAGAATGAACAATTTAGTCTACGATGAAATTTGGTTCATAGAAAACTACCACATTTTCTTTGATTAAACCCAATCTATCAATCAATAGTTTTCTATAGTCTTGTTTGGTTATCCTCTTATATTTATGAATTGATATCTAAAAAATAAATAAAAAAAATAATAATAACCAATCAGACTTCTTTACAAAAGACGATAAAATGTTCCACCTTTTTTGTGAAAGAACTGTTCAGATTT